CACAGACGTGAGTGTACACAGAAATTGAAGAAAATATTTGAATAATATATTACGTCAAAACAATCCTGAATATATTTTTTAAAATGTTACCTTAAAAAGCGCTTTATTTAATTTATTTTTCGACCTTGCACGAAGGGAGCGATTTAAGTACTAATCACACAGGGACAAAGTCACGTCATTTCGTTAAACACGTTGAGCTGTGCAACATGACTATGAAATATATCACACGCGGACTACGAGACATGTCGCGATGTTGCATTCGCGAGTTTAGTCTCGAAAACATATTATTGACCATGCTCGAGATTCGCCGTCAACGATTATTTTCACACATACACACACACACACACACACACACACACACACACACACACACACACACACACACACACACACACACACTCACACTCACACACACACACACACACAAAGAATCCAAATAAAAATGAAAAGGTCGGCGGCCAGTCGCGAATCAAGGCTATAGACAGAAAGGCGAAGATAGCATGCAGCCACTGAACTACAGAAACTTGGTGTACGCGCACGTGGCAATATTCCGCGCTTATCAGATTGTTTCAGGCTCTTTGAATAGTAAAAGAAGCTCAAAAAGTTATCACAAATTTGTTCACGAGCGAGAAAGCCTCACGCTGAAGAGCTACCCCCTGACCTTATTTTGATCGGGGAAGGCGAATTAGTGAATATGCCCTAACGGCAGAAAAGGTGTATGAAGCACCTCATCCCCATTAAAACTGGGGATGAGGTGCTTTATATTTAAAGAGTCAATTTCTTACGTCACAACTCCGGCTAATCGCTCGATCCGACCGGCGAGACATAAAGCGAGGGTTGATTGTGAGTGGAGCAACTCCGACCATGGAGCAATCGATTGGAGCTGCTAATGGCAAATTCCACGGTGGTTTTGGAGCGCGCCGGGATCGACTCTTCTAGAGCGAGCCTATTTTACTGGGCGATCGGGATCAAGATTCAAGACGGATGTGTTCCATTGGTCGTTTAGGATTAGCTCCCGCTCCATATCTCGATCTGGATCCGAGAGAAGTCGCTCCGACGATTACGGCGTATTCAACCGGAAACCAGCGGGGCCAGCCCTCGGCGCACACGCGTGACTTCCTTTCCCGCGGGGCATCTCGCCTGACCTCGCCCATCTCGCTCAGAAGAATTCGTAATGGCCGCTTGCTTACCCCTTGGCTCGACAGCCGGTTCGTTTTTCATGAAGGAGAAGGTTTTGCCGCGCGACGGGCATTCCGGCAATCTTTGCTACAAGTTCCTGAGCCATTCCTGCCGCTCGTGCGTCGAACACGTGCTAGCGCCGCGATGGCGAAAACGTCTTCGAAACGACCGCGGCGGCCGCGGAAAGGGGATTCCCGGGCATTTGAATGACGGGAAGGCATCCGCCGATCCCGGAGCAGTGGTCATGTTCCGCTGGGGATCCGTAGGCGCTACCCTTTTCGGATCGTGTGCTTCATTCCGGATCTCGTCAACTGATCCCGGCGCGCTTCAAAACGCCCAGTGGAATTCGTCATAAGACAATTTCTGAATAGTGCCCAATATCGCAATAAAGTGAGGATGCTTTTGTAGCATACATCGCATATCTTCGAGGTGTGACTTGCCTTCCACCGATTGCGCTTCATCAGGACTCCCATTTTCTTTTTCGCGCCATTTCATGGAGAAAGCGGAAGCATCGGACTCCCTTTGCAGTCGAAGCGGCACACAGCCGCACAGAACAGTCGCTCATGCTAGTGCTCGGACGACTGCTGTTGAGATCACTATAAGACCCACTGATCTCTATGAGAACAGCGGTAAGACCAGAAAGACTTTTTCGCGCACAGATCTGCCCAAAGTGGAAGATAGTCGCGCCGCACGTCCAACCTCACGTACTGCACGCATACTCCGTCTTAACTACATTTGAGGCAAGATGGTGTCGTGGCTAAAAGGTGGTGGTGTGGCGCGGTTCAAAGGATGTCCTCACCTTGCAAGCCTGCGCGAACTGACATCGAGGCACCCTGATTCTTTCCAAATCGAGGCGAGCCTGGCAGCGCAATGCCGTACAAAGCATCTTGGGTACCGTTTGGCCACTAGGTTTCGGTTTCCATGCATTGACCACCATCACTTCACGACGTCACGTCAAGAACAAATACAGTGCTCGTATTTTCAAATATGCTACTTTCCTTAAATTTATAGTACCATTCTAAAAAATATCCCGTGCGTCTACTATCCCGCACAACACTCTGAGAGCCGATGACCAGAACTTACGGAGGCAGCTCAGCAAATGACGACGCCGAAACATATGTTTAGACCAAAAACCGCAGTTTGAGTTGTGACATTAAGCAATGCAAGCGTGACGTTTTGATCTGCTTTATGTCACAACTAAGACTGGTTTTTTTTTTTGTCTAAACATATGCTTCGGCTTCGTCATTTGCTGAGCTGCCTCTGTAAGTTGCAGTGATTGGCTGTCCGAGTGTTGTGCGGGAAAGTAGACGCACGGGCTTTTTTTAGAGTGTACTGTTGCTGTTGCCTCCCGATACGGATGGAATGCAGAGGTACGTTGTTTTTATCGGGCTCCGACTTGCCGGAGTTTGTACGCAGGTGAACACAGGACGACGTTGGAACATGGGAGAAGTATACATGGGCCGGTCACTTTGTTATGTTGGCTGCTCAATGTCCTATAGGCTTCCTAAATAATCCGTGAGCCGGGAGGGTCATGTTGCACTCCGGAGTGGTAGCCAGGCCGCCAGATAGCAGTGGGACGCGGCAAGTCGTACTCCAGCTTCTTGCTAATTCTAGGCAGGCGCTTACGGCACTGGAGGTCTGTGTCGCAGCCGGAGGCTCTCACAACGATGAGTCGGTGTGATACGAGCGAGTGTCGACTTTATCTTCGTGCAGTGCTGAGGTGCACTGCTTCGTCAACGGCACGAAAAAAACCGAAACCGTGCCACACCTCTCCATGGCCAACCATGTTCCATGATACAACGCGCTGAGTGTTCCGTACCTTCGTAAATAGTGTATTGCCTGAATAGACCTTTGATTTTCCAATCTCGCTTCACGACATCCCGCCACGTCCAAATACATGTGCTTTCTTTTTCCAATATGTGGCTTTCCTTAAATTTATCATACTATTGGTGTTCCCAACCAATACGCATAGAATGCTGGGGGACGTTTTCTTGTTTGGGAGGGGGGGGGGGGGGGGGGCGTTGTACTCCCGACATCAGAGTTTGTGCACTAGCAAACACAGGTAAACGCAGGTCAACACAGCGACCGGCCGCACTCCTACTCCTCGTTAAGTCTAGGCAGGTCTAGTACGGTACTATGTTGTTGGGCTAGTTGGTTCATCTTAGTTAAACGTATAAAATAGCGCAAAAAAAAGACAAGGACCATAAGTATACAGGACAGGCGATTGTCCTGTATACTTCTTGACCTTGTCTTCTTTTGCGCTATTTTATATGTTTAACTAGGCAGGTCCTGCGGCCACTGGAGGCCCATGCTTAAAGGCCGACTACCAGACTGGAGATTCTGCAAGACTGAAGATCCTCCTCCCCATGGGGGAGGAGGAAGCAGGCAGTGCTGGGCAGGGTAGAAAGGGGAGAGGAGGAATCGGGAGAAAAGTGGAAAGCGCGAAGTGTACGTCGGCCTTTAAACGGGGCTCTCACAAAGGTGAATGAGTGGAATGCAAGCGAGCGCTGACTTTATTTCCATGCAGTGCTCACATTCACTACTTTGTCAATGGGGCAATTGAAACCAAAACCCCGCAACTTTCTTCATGTCCAAAGAGGTCCCATAATGCAACCCGCCCAGTGTTCCGCACCGGGATTTTTGGAAGTAGTCCGTTGGCGCCACTGGACACTGATGACGTTTCATGGAAGAGGAGGAGCATGTTCGCAGATCTTCACCATTCTAGGTGGCTCATTCATTAGCAACACCATTAAACCTCTCGCTCTCGGTGGGTAATGTTAATTACTCTCGAAAGCAAACAAACCTCCGAGACTAGGCTGACACGTGTCTCAAACTGGGGTTTGTGGTATCTTGTACCGGCCATGCATTCCAAGAAGCCCCGACGCGGCGGTAGAGGTGCCGGCGTGTCCTGTTATTTGGTGTCGCAATCATGGTAGCTGATCGAAAAAGATCGAAAAAGTTATGGCAAAAAGTACAACTGAACGCAATCACTGTCGTCGTGGCGTCGCAACTCCTGGCTGCTGAAGAGTCTGTGGTGTGTCAAGCTGAACACGTAGGAGAACAGGAATCTACCGCGTCGCTGCTGCGGCAGCGCCAGGATCTTGGCGCTGCCACAGTAGCGATGACGTCATTTTTATGACGTCATCGGTCGGAGGTCGAGAGACCGCATTTGAAGCCACGGCAAACACGCCGCTCGGAGACGCGTTTTGCTTGAGCCCTGCAATGCGTTCCATTCTATCATCCTACCTTGCTGTTTGTCCGAACAAAAAAGTGTACCACAGAAAAAAAAGAAAACATGTACACACGCGCAAATATAGTAACGAGTAGTGAATGTGTGTGAAATTCTGGAAATACCTTGAAAACCCTCAAGGACTGTTGCTGGTGTGTGTATAAGCGCGCGCGTGTGTGTGTGTGCGTGTGTGTGTGTTTGCGTGTGCGTCTTTGATAGTAGAGCCTTGCGAAAGTGCGCAAACTTGCAAGAGTTCTGCCGTAATATGAATGAAGGGATATCTGGATGGACGCCAGCGACTGTACTCTTTATAACGGTCAGAAACTTGCGCCACCTGGTCTAAAAACTAAAAACCAAAAGAATGATTCCTCCCTTTGCCCTTCTATGCCAACTTGCTTCCCCTCTGCAATTTTGTAACCATCATCAGGCGGTGTGGGATATGCAGGAATAACCTTTGGGGATCTACCCACGGTGGCCCGATTAGGTTTTGAAACGTGGTTGCTTATTGACGCGTATATAAAATTACGGCAACGTCAATGAGGAATATAGCTGTTTCAGTTGATGCTTATATGGTACAAACGGTGTTTTTCAGGCGAGGAATGGAAGAAGGTGCGCACGGTGCTCAATGCCACCATCACCGCCAGCAAGGTGAACCGTTGCTCTCGAATCGTGAGCAGATGTGCGGAGGAGCTTCTGCGAGTCCTCAAAAGGCATCACGAACGTGACGAGCTGGTTGATATCATGGACATGGCCGAGGGATACTCCCTAGACGTCATCACAAAGTGCGCACTAGCATGGAAGGTGGGTGCTCGTGTGGTTATACCGGACACGCGTCACGTGAACACTTTAGAATCTATGGTTTGGTGTTAGACAGGACGCAAGCAAGTCCGCAGCATCGTATTATTACACCGCAGCCAGTCAGGTTGTGGCATCGGCAAATGAAAATGAAAAAAAAAAAAGAAATAATCACAAAGCAAAATTGTGAACAAAATAAACCATGCCCAGTGTTTCTCAAGTTGTAGGCGACTATATTCGCCTATAGATGAGAAACTGTGTGCATTTGTGTAACCCTCAGTGGAACCCAGAACCAGTCGGGCCTTATGGTGCACACTGATGGCGTTTGTTCTTTTTTACTATAGGTTATCCAAAACAAATTTTCTATAGTACCGACGAATCTGTCCTATTAATACAGTTGCTTTAACGGCAGAAGAATAGGGTAAAACAATTTTTTTTTAAAGGGTTAAAGATTAGGGGTTAGGAAAATCATACAAGTTTGCGGAAAATTGCCAGCGACAAATAAAAACTAAGCGGAAGCTTATTCAGATATTTAAAAAAGGAAAACTATTTCCCTGCTTTCACAGTGTTTGTCGGCACAAAAGCTGCGTCGTGTGTTTTAAAGTATTTTATTCATAACTTCAGTTCCCTTGAAAACGTTTCCTTGACCGTGTGTTCAGCGTCGTGTCCACCAGGTGATTCGGTGTTTGTCGCTAGCTTGCGTGTTTCGAAGTCGTTTGTAGCTATTTGTCCCTTTAGTGGGACGAGGAAATCTCGAATACAAATTTAATCCCTGTCGCTTAGTTTTTGCTGTATGTTTTGTTATCTTGATGCTGCAAAAAAAAAAACATTCTTCCTTTATTAAAAAATAGTTACGAATAGTACAGCAACGCAATTATTGTGGCTCTAAAGAGCGTCTCACACCTACTTCACAGGTAAACTGCCAACAGAAGTCGGACGACCCGTTGCTGCTCGGGCTCAGGCGAATATTTGAAGATTTAGACTCAACCGTCATCGAGAGCACTCTCGCCCTGCCTGGAATAAGGAGCATCCTTAAGCTTATCTACCCGTTTACCAGTGTTTCTAAAATGCTCCGTCGCATCGCCGAAAACGTGCGCGAAAATATCAACAAGCGGCGTAAAGGACAAAGCCCCCGTGAAGACGACATGCTTCAGATGCTGCTTGACGCTCAAGCCGGTGTTGAGGACAAGACATACAACGTCCAGAAGAGCGATCTTCTCATTGAGGACCGTCACGTCATTGCCAATTCCATCGTTCTTCTTGTCGCTGGCTTCGAGACAACAGCTATGGGGATTGGATTCGCGCTCTACGTTTTAGCCACGTATCCCGAAGAACAAGACAAGGTGCATTCCGAGATTGACACCGTGTTGCCCTACGACGATGAGATATCCCTGGACAGTATCCAAAATCTCAAACGCCTAGATATGGTGATCAACGAAACCTTGAGACTGTACCCCGCCCTCCCAATTATGATTGCAAGACTGTGTCCCCGGGACATGACCGTGAGGGATCAGTTCATTCCGGCTGGAACCTCTGTTTTCGCTCCCGCTTGGCACATTCACCGAGATCCCGACTCCTGGCCCGAGCCTTCCAGGTTCCTCCCGGACAGGTTCGCCGAAGAGCACCCGGAGCGCCATTCGCTCGCGTTTATTCCCTTCGGCCTAGGGCCCAGGTACTGCTTTGGGAAGAGATTAGCATTGCTCGAAATCAAAATGGCGCTTTGTGCGATTCTGCGCAAGTACAGGGTGATCCCAAGTGAAGAGACGGTCAATCCTATTTCAGTGACGGTGCCCAATGTGACACTTCGTCCAGTAGGCGATATCAAACTGAAATTTGAAAACAAAGCAGAGCGGTGAATGACCACTTTCCGGGGACAAAGTGACGTAACGCACGGGAGCGAGTAAACATGGTTGCAATAGTGCAACCATGGGTCGTCTGTCGCTTATCCATCCTGGAACAGAAACGCTTGAGCGCAGAAGTTATTAATATTCATAACACTTAAGAATAACGCTAAAAGCCGATTGAACAAATAACTGAGGGCGAGGCTAGGAAAACGGTGCGCCTACATTCGTTTGTTTGAAATCAATTTGTTGACGTGCGAGGTAAAGCCAACCCATAGCGGAGCCACTTGAAAGTCTTTCCGAATCACTGGCGGGTTTTTGGCGGTGACAGCTCCTGGGAAGAAAACGTAATATTTCGCAGAACTTAGATAGCTGTGTCTGGCGCCGCAACGTAATATTTGCTGCCTAAAGCAACACGCACTTAACGTTCTTTATCCACGTGATGGCACAACATCGATAAACTTAACGCCAAAATTTCGGGGTCCCCAAAGTCCTCCACAACGTCGCACCTGCTAAGACGAAAGGAAAGTTTTGCATGAATATATTAGGAAATACTGTATCTAAAAACACGCAGATGTAGGAAATGTACGTATGATAAACTGCTACATATCTTGGAGGAAAGCAACTAAATTAAGTTCTACGTTCGCGCTAACTATTTTTTATTATTTTTTTATTACTCCATTAAACAGTGTAGACATTGCGTTATACAATGTTTTTTTTTGTTTCCATTTAAAACATAAAACCTGACATTTATTATTTAGATTCTTGAAAATGAAAGATCATATCATAAATCGAGAAAAGCGGAAATACAAAAATGCAGAAATAAAACTTTTGGCAAGGAGTAAAGCTTACATTTCAGCAGTCTTGGAAAATCCGTATTCAAGAAATGTCATAATAATCACAGGAGAGCAGGGTAGATTGTATCCTGTAAATGGCGCTTTCTGTTCTTTATCTACGCGTGCTTCGAAATAATTGAAAGAGATCTAGTGGTGCAATGCGGGAAACCATAGCCCAGCTGGGTTTGTAAACATTTGTAGACTAAGAATTCCAGAAATTACGCAAAATGCACTTACTTTCAATGAACTGGGCATGTCCCAAATGCTAGCACGACAGCCGAACTGGCAATTGAAGGCGGTCAGATTCTCATATCCTAGACTCCAAAGTTTCCTTTGGAGTCTAGGCGCCAACTCTCAGTGTCAGCTCACGGCTGCTGCATAATGCAACTTTCATGTCTTGACTCGCCTCTAAAGGGAGACGTGGTAATCATATATATTTTGGCCCCGGTGGTCACGAGCGGTAGAGGTTTCAAGGTTGAGTTTCACAGCCGAGTGTTTTAGCAACGTTGGCCTTAGGATAACGACTCTTTAGCCATCTTCGTCCTTAAAAGCGTGGTTGCCCGTTATCTGACGATTTATTTGAAATGACAGGAATCGATTTTCCGTCCTCCAGAAATGTTCAAATGGTTCGCGACAGAGCAAAACTACATCGTAGTCCGACATTCCTGACCACAAGTCCAAAACTCAAAATGTCGTTTTTATTTATTTTTTCTTTTTCAAATCGCAGCGATTACCGTTTGTTTCATGGTCTGCACTAAGCACCAAGATGACGGCGCCCACAAGAGTATAAAATAATGGAGTGCGCATGCGCGTAGTTCATTCAGTGGTTCTAGCTTCTCTGAAGCGTAGCTCGTCTGGTGTCTCCAGCGGAAGCGTTGCGGAAGTCTGCCGTCAGAAGGCGCACCAGCTGTCGCAGACCCGTCTGTGGCCACCCTGAAAAAAAGACGTGTTGTACGTAACGCGATACTTGTACTGCACTGAGCTAGAAGGGGAAGTGTGCCGTGCGGCGGCGGAGAACGGGTCCTTTTCGCGATGACTCTTCCGCGAGGTTTGTGGGGGCGCTGCTGTAGCAGGAGCGCTGCGGGAGCCGCTCAGACTTAAGCGGATTGTGCGGCTGGTTTTTGTATCATTTTCTGGTTTCGTTGTGACGGAGCAGTTGATTATATTTGTTTATTAACTGCTGCCCTCCCTTCTATGACGAATTCTAGCGCTTCCGGAACGCACAGCCGCAGTTCTGTTGGTATAGCGTGCGTGCCGAAAGACACGCCTGATCGTAGACCACTGCTACCGTTTTGGCTATTTTAGCCAGGTATTTTCCATTTAGAAATCTTAACGAGTAATGTACATTAGTTCAAAACACTTTTGGCAGAATTTTAGTGCATTGACTCGCACATCATATTAGCTGCAAATAAATGTTAATACCTTGACTCGTTCATATCTAATTCATTTTGCATTGATTGGCATACGTAACAGTGAGGAGGCGACCTCTGAATGCAACTTGGTGCTGATTTCGCTCTTCAGACTGGTCTCGCACAAAGAAGAGACCAACAAAACAAACAGAACTATGGAATGCTTTATTTGTCATTTAAATTTCTTCAGGCCGACACTTCCGCCTTTTTGTTAGTCCAAACCTCTTCACCTCTTCATAAGCAAACAAAAGCTTTTGTACGAACCAAATCTACAACTCCGCCTAGGCAACTCGCAGCTTAATTACACCTTATCTTCAGGCTGTTGGTTTGTACACGTTTAGAGCTGCATGCGCATCTCATTTAAAGATTTGGAATAGAAGCGGAAACGGAGAAGTACGTAAAGTTTCATTATACTCAGTGTAAGCTCCGCATCATGTTTGCCACATCCCGGCTTTGGAATGTAAAAACATTCCAACTTTCCAAAGCCGGGATGTTTGGCTTTCGAAAGTTCCCCTAGCTTGCATCGCAATCTGCACCTGCTTCTTTACAGCTATCTTGCTTTGCTAAACAGCATCGGATTCGCACTCTGCGTAAATAAATGTCCTCAGCACACGGCAGGAACATTTCCCGCCATCCGTTTGGCCTCGTCCACCCTGAAAATGACAGTTTCTGACGATCTTGATCAGGAAGCTCGACATCGTTCAGGAGGCCAATATCATTAGAAGCCGCTTCTGGCAGCATGTTGTCCACTCGTCTTCGCTTCGAATTGGGGAACACCTGAACGCTGCGGTAGCGTTCCTTCCTTTTTTTTCGGCGGTGACTTTGATAAGTACCTAGAAGCATCTGGGAAAATATTCTGTATCTGGGAAAAGTGGCGCATTCTTTTTCCTTCTCCTCTAAAAACAACTCCTTACCCCACCTCGAACTTCCGGTTTGCGACGGAGGCGCCCTCAGGACGTTTCCAAGCGTCTCGACGTCTCGGTCAGCTGAAGCGGTCGATATGCTGATCGTGTCGACTTTTCTCGTCAGACGAGTGTGGCAATTACCTCATTTAGAGCCTCCATTCGTATCCGACCGTCCTGAAGCCGCTCTAGATCTGCTCGTCCAACCGTGCAACCGCGTGCTCTGGGGAAGCTGGGAAACAGGTTCGGTACAGCACCGCTTGGAACTTGCTGGGGGGCCTCAGGAGGACACACTCGCCTAGAATCAACAAAGACGTCACTAGTGGTAGGTGAGCCTCAGTTGACCTTGAAAGAGTATCGGGCTGCCAAACTCGCCAACAGCTGTGGTTACTGCGGCAGATCCCCCAGGGAAAAGCTCCGCTTGGGTCTTGCTGGGGGCCCTTCGGAGGACACTCTCTCCTAGAATGGACAGAGATGGCACTAGTGGTAGATAGGCCTCGGTCGACCACGAAACAGTATCGGACAGCCAAACTAAAAAGCAGCTGCGGTTGCTGCAGCAGTCTGTCCTGGGGATGTTTCAGTACTGCGGGCACTACCTTGTGGTGTACTATTCAGGTTTTGCTGGGGGTGCTTTGGAGACTTTAGGGAGGCAACCAGAACAGACAAATGGAATTGATTTTGTAAAAGAGGCATCCAAAATCATCAGTTTGTGCATCGAATTTGTATCATTAAACTCATGCAATGTGTCTCACTGAAGAAAAAGAAAATATATATATATTTTGTGAGATGTTGTACATACCATTTACATTTACAGTTTTTTTGTAGTGCTGGTTTACTCTCATGGTTGAAGGTAACGATAAAAGAAATGTTTTGGAGAGCATCTTTCCCCGATTTTTCGCTCTTCTTTGTTTTGCATGATTAGCGTTTTGAATTGGTCGATACTGAAGTGGTCCTGTAATAGATTGAAGAGATAGGACTTTAGCCGAGAGCACATCGTGGAACGCCCCCTCAAACGTCCGTCTCTGCAGATCCTAGGTTAGCCTGCCAAAGACCTGCACATGAAGTTTGCGCGCTGTCAAAGCTACTGGTGCGAGGTTGGGATTCATCTTAAATGTTTTATTTGCCTGCGTTTTTCGTTTCAATGAGACTACGAGCGACCTATTGACTCTACGAGAGCGAACGCACTTTGAGCGGGCTAAGCACACACGCTCGTCTAGTAAGAGCGTCGTCAGAGAAAACATACTCCTGCTTGTCGCACTGGCTGCGCTTGCACTTATATTGAAACGGAGTATAGATACGCGGTCAAACGCTCTCAAACGCAACTGTGCGTAGGGGCCTTTACTTCCACGGCACGGGCATCCGTGCATACCAAGTTGGCAGTATTGTGCTCGCTATTACATCGCTCGCGTTTACGGTGGAATGGAATGCATAACTCACTCTAAACAACTGTCTTTTCGCATGCTAATGAGTATACAGAGCACCTACCTCGCATAACTATACGGCTCCCGTCGGGTTGAAATCTTTTCGACCGATTCGGTGAAGCAAGATCTTCCTCTGAAGTTCATTTTCCGTTTCAGAGGGAACACTGTAAAGCTTTCCGGTCGAAATTTCTGCGGGCGCAGCCACAGGGCGCAGCAGCCCGTCAGTCGTAGGTGTGCCTCGGTCGACAGTCGTAGGTGTGCCTCGGTCGACTTGGAAACACTATCATTGTGCTTAACTCCCCAGCAGCTGAAGGGGACTGCCGAACCAGGCTGCTCTAAGGAAGCTGGGAAAGTCAGGTTCTGTACAGCACCGCTTGAAACTTCCTGGGGGGCCTCAGGAGGACACACTCGCCTAGAATCGACAAATACAGCACTAGTGATAGGTGAGCCTCAGTTGACCTGGAAAGAGTATCGGACTGCCAAACTCACCAACAGCTGCGGTCACTGCGGCAGATTGCCCCGAGGGAAAAGCTCCGCTTGAACCTTGCTGCAGTGGGGGCCCTCCGGAGGACACACGCTCCTAGAATGGACAGAGATGGCACTAGTGGTAAGTGTGCCTCGATCGACCAAGAAACAGTATCGGACAGCCAAACTAAAGAGCAGCTGCGGTTGCTGCAGCAGTTCGTTCTGGGGATGTTTCAGTACTGTGGGCATTGCTTTGTGGTGGGGTGCCTCGGGGACTTTAGGGAGCCAACCAAAACAAATAAATGGAACTGCATTTTGTAAAGGAGGCATCCAAAATTATCAGTTTGTGTATCGAATTTGTATTGTAAAACAGATAACGTGTCTTACTGAAAAAAAATGGTTTGTGAGATGTTGTACATACCACCTACATTTCCAGTTCCCTTGCAGTGGTGGTTTACTCTCTAGGTTGAAGGTAACGAAAAAAGAAATATTTGGGAGAGCATTTTTATTAATTTTTTGCTCTCCTTTGTTTTGCATGATTAGTGTTTTGAATTGGTGGATACTGAAAAAGTCCTGTAATAGAATGGAGTGATCGGATTTTAGTCGAGAACACATCATGTAACGCCACCTCAAACGCCCGTTTCTGCAGATCCTAGGTTAGCCTGCCAAAGACCTTCACGTAAAGTTTGCGCTGTCAAAGCTGCTCGCGCGAGTGTGGGGTTGATCTCAAATGTTTTATTTGCTTGTGTTTTTGTTTCAATAAGACTGCGAGCGAGGGAGACCCTATTGATACTACGAGAGCGAACGCACTTTGAGCGGGCTAAGCACACACGCTCGTCCAGTAAGAGCGTCATCAGAGAAAACACACTCGTGCTTGTCGCACTGGCTGCGTTCGCACTTATATTGAGACGAAGTATAGATACATCCTCATGCT